TCATAAAACAAGAAATGTAGAGGTGCATGCCGACATGTTGGAAGGATTGATGGGCCTTTAAATGATCAAAATCCAAAAGATAGAGACGTCCAAAATTAATCAGGCAAGGGCCCATTTGGTTGTTATGGAGTTATTTTCTCTTAATTATTGATCAAAAATGTGTGTTGGGAGTTTTACCTCAGAGCCTCTCACTTGACTCATTATGTAAATGGCTTTTTGAGCTTTTATTTTTTTATTTTTTTTTAATTTTAGGAAGTTGAACCTTAAGCCCGCTATGTTTAGCATGATTTTAAAAATTAGTCTGGACCAAACCGGTCGAATGGCTGATTCATTGTTGAGCTAAAAAGCAATTGTTGAATCGTTGAACCGGTTCGATTACTAAAGAACCGACAATTTCAAATCTTTTCTAATTTTAGCTTTGATCAGATAAACATAAATATGATGTGTAAATTAATAATAGAGAAAACATTATGTCATGAATTTGTTTATTTAGGATTTTTTTTCAAAATATTCAAATTGATATTAATATATCATTCTTCTATTATTTAAATTATATTAAGATAATTTAAATGTTTATGATGTAATCTGGTTAAATCTCAAGCTCAATCGGGGGATAGCCAATAACAAATATTTTGAAAACCCCTAATTCAGTGAGAAATGAAGGCCCCAATCAATAGGCCATGAGTTTCAACACGAATTTTGATCTTATTTCCGTTGGATTCAAGTTGAAAATCAGATAACAAAATATGTTTCACAAAATAATAAATTTTGTACATTAATTCATCATTCAGTTACTTAAACTTAGAAGTTAGTATTAATTTAAAGGCAAATAAATAAAAAATTATATTATTATTTTTTGAAAACATATTAATTATTTTAAAATAACTAAAATGGTCAAGTGAACAAATTGATAGTCATAAATCAATCATGTTCCTTTGAGATTCTTAATTTGATTTTTATTTGTCTAAAAAGAGATATAAAGTGAACTATTTATTAAAATATTGTTTAATATGTACTTTGTTAAAAATCATACAAGGATGAAAAAAATATCATTTCAAAAGTAAAAATCAAATATTTGATTTTATAATATAATAGCTGTTGATATGTCAAAAAAGACTTTAAGATTGATCTTAATGAGGTTTTCAATTAAGATGTCATGGATGTACACAAGAATGTTGAATGATTGAAAGTCGCATAAGTTATAAATATAGTCAAAAATCTTAAAAGTCTATAGTCCTCAAAAATATGTATACATCTCAATTCTCACAAGGTTGCAAGCCTAAATATATATATA